GGGGGGGGGGTGCATCTGAGGTGTATCTGAGCTTGAGTTACGTCTGAGCTTGAGTTACGTAGCCTTGGGCAGCGAGGAAGACCTGGGGATCAGGTCCAGGAAATGGGGTTTCTAACAGAGGAAACTCTCTAGTTGCCAGAAGGGGGTTCGAATGACGCTGGACAGCCCGGCCGTGACCGTTTCCACGGCTGAGAAGGAAGGGTCACCTTTGCCACCGAGGCGTTGCCCTGACCAGGGGTGGAGGCAGCAGAGCCGAGAGACCAGCCAGGGTTCGAGCCCCGCAGACGGTTCCGTGCTGACACCGTGGAACCTGCTAGTCTCTAAAGTCAACAGCGTGGCGGTGAAATGAATAAGCGGGCACCGTCTTTCCCTTTGCATGGGTGTGGGTCTATCTGCTGGAGAAGTTGCTAGGAGGAAATGGCTGGCTCAGGGGGTCTGGGCGTTTGTAATTTTTTTTTAAATTTTTTAAATCTTTATTTATTTTCGAGAGAGAGAGAGAGAGAGACAGAGCACGAGCTGGGGGGTGGGGGCAGAGAGAGAGAGGGAGACACAACCTGAACGGGGCTCCAGGCTCAGAGCTGTCAGCACAGAGCCCGACGCGGGGCTCGAACTCGGGAACCGGGAGATCATGACGTGAGCGGAAGTCGGTCGCTCAACCGACTGAGCCACCCAGGCGCCCCCTTTGATGGAGTTTAATAAGCCACGGTCCAAAGTGCTTATAACAGTTTACACCCTGCACTCCCACCAGCAACGAGGAGGGCATTTATTCTCCCATCATATCCAAAGTTTTGAACGTCTAGGTCTACCCCTCATCCGTTTTTGTACTCGGGTCGGGGTCCCAGCACCCCACGAGGAAGGCCTGACATTACTAACCCTCCGAAAAGAACCTGTCCCTTCCCACCAGTCTCTCCCACCGCCCCTGGCTGGCGCAAGCCACGCCCCTCCCACCTGCACACCCGGCATGCGCCCCGGCTCACCTGCCTTCTGGTGTCTTCCTCCACCCCTCCCCACCCAGCAGGTGGCCAGCCCTGAACGGCACCCATCGCCTGCTGAGCCAGGCGCGGAAAACAGGACAACCCCCGGTACAGGATCAAATTTGTTTTGTGTACTTGTGACCCGTTTGCCCTGCGGTAATGTCCGAGCCCACTGGAGTCCGAGGACCAAGTGGCTGCACCCGGGTGACGGTTCAGACCATTGGTTCTTGAGTTTTGCCCAGAGGCGTCACAGACACCACCCCCCCCCCCCCCCCCCCCCCCCCCCCCCCGCCCCCGAGATAGATCCTTGCATCCCTCTGTCCCACTCACGAACACCCGGGCTTGCTCTGGAGAAAGAGCAAAACGTATTCGTTGCAGGCCAAGTGTGCGGAGGGAGGGACTGGAAGGCCCCCCGAGGCCCCGCTAAGGATCAATTAATTTAGAATTCACTTCAGCAGATTGTTCTGCCAAGGGGAAGGAAATACAGCTAAAATGACGAATGGGCCCTGTGAGGCCTACGGGGCTCAGAGCCACCCGTGTCTCTGGGCTGGAGACCAGCAGACAGAACTTATTCCAAGAAACGTACAAAACAAAACAAAATAAAACAAAACAAAACCCAAAAGCACAAAACTGGTTCTTTCAGTCCACGGGAGAGATCCAGGCAGAAAGACCCCTGTCCAGAGACCCACGTAATGGGAATGGAATAAGGACCCAAATTCCTGGCGCGTGGGGAAGGCCCCACATTAAATGGTGTGGTCGGTGTTGAATTTCACTTCCCCTGGGGCATTTGAAGGGGAAATTCTCAGAAACCTGGGCTGGTGATCATTTCCTTGACGGAGGTGCCACCAGAAATGGATGACCCTCATACTGTCAACACCTGTCTGCCTGGCTGTTGTCCTGACTCCGAGAAAACAGGCACGGACTGTCCAAGGTCACCCTAGACAAAACTGGAAGTTCAAGCCACGCGTCACAACTTTGAGGTCTACACATTCCCGGTACAGCAAGAGGGAGGGTCCACCCGACAGAAAGTGTGTGGAACTAAGCTGAAACTCCTGGGAACTGGGGGGTCCTGTAAAAACCCTCCTCCCAGGCTTTTAACGCAAGACCCTGTGACTCCAACGCTGATCGTGACTATATCGAGAATCGCAGAGAAATCCTTGTAAAGTGTTTAGAAGACCAGGGGCTTCACGCAGCGGCCCCCTTGCCCTCTCTCCCCATAACGCAATCCTCTCTCTCCCACGGGGTCTCCCCGGTGCATTCAGCAGAATCGGCCAGGCTCACTGCTCCCCCTGGGTCTGCAGGCGCCCTGGGAGGGAGGGCAGAGAGCCCTCTCCACAGTTTGCCATCAGGGCGTGCCTCCTTTCCGTCGTGACGGGGAGGTTCCCAGGCAAACAGGTGGAGGCCAAGGGCCACTCAGCCCAGGTGCCCCCGAGCTGGCTCCTTCCTGGCTGACACAGTCGCCTTGCTTCTTCCCACCTATCGGGAGCCCACCCGCCAGGGGAGCAGCCATGCCCTACCTCTATCGGGCCCCAGGGCCCCAGAAGCACCCGGTTCCCAAGGACGCCCGCGCCACCCACTCCTCGGGCCAGAGCTTCGAGCAGCTGAGGCAGGAGTGTGTGCAGAAGGGCATCCTGTTTGAGGATGCAGACTTCCCAGCCGACAGCTCCTCGCTCTTCTACAGTGAGAGGCCCCAGATCCCCTTCGTGTGGAAACGGCCAGGGGTGAGTACAGCAGGAACGGGGGGTGCACGCGGGGGGGGGGCTCAGCAGCCCAGGAGAGGGGTTCCTGGGAGGGCGGGCTGCACACACACACACATCTGCCAGGCACATCGGCCGAGTCCACTGCTGAGATGCCGGGCGGTTTGCACGGGAAACGACACACAGGGGGCACATATGGGCAGGTCAGGGATGCTCCCGGGTGTCTGGCTACACCCCACCCCCAGCTCTCTGACTCCGACCCAGGGGAGCCCGGGACTGGGGCCCGGCTCCAGAGAGGGGCCTGTCAGTCGGCCGCAAGTGGGGATCAAAGCGTATCCAAGCCAAGCCTCCGGTGACACGTTCTCGCCGCATGGGCGCACGTGACGTGCCCGTAGCTTCTGGCCACAGCCGGGGTGCTCGGTGTGGATGGACAGTCGCTCAGCAAGCAAGTGCTCAGTAAGGGGATGCACGGGACGCTCGGAACACAGGGCTTCTCTCCCCGAACCACGCATCTGCCTTCCCGGAGGGGAGCCGGCGTCCGAGCTGCCCCACCCCCAACAGTCTGGAGGAGATGGTCCCCAGGGGCGCCAGCACGAGGAGTCAATATTTGCTGTGCTGGTTAGTCAGGCCTTGACCTCTGCCCGGGCGCTGCTGGCCATCATTCCCTCCAGGCAGGGACTGGCCTGGGAGCGGCTCCCGTGGGGACGGGTCGCCACGGCAGGGCGAGCACAGAAAGGGCTGGGCTGAGACTCTGGGTGGACCCCCCGCCCCCCCGCACAAAGAGTGCCCACAGGACATTTGTCAGTTTATCATGGGTGCCCTTGGGGCCAACACCTGTGGAAAGACGAGCAGGGGTGGGCGGAAGGAGCCCCGGGGGGCTGGGATAGGGCCCCATGAAGGCCTCGGCCAGCCGCACGGGGCGCTCTGGAGCTGGGATGGGCTCTCAGAGTCGCCTGGTGTGGGGGTGACAGGCCCACCTGGGTCTGTGCCCTTCACCGATGAGTCGCGGGATGCGGTACCCCTGAAAGCCATGACCTTGGAAGAGGCAGCTTTTTCAGCACCCCCAACCGGGGGAACAAGACCCTCCCGGCTGCTGGGGGGTCTTTTGTCTTCCACAGAAGCGGGGAGGGGGGGGTAATGACGCTGCTTCCCGTGCTGGGCTGTTGCAAGGATTCCTGTGCTAACGTGTAGGGCACGCAGAAAGGGGCCTGTAAATAAGTGTCACTGTGATTGCTGCCCTCTGTCACGGTACCCGGACACCATCACCTCCCGGGCCCGGGAGGCACCCTGCCCCCGCAGTCTGCCCCTCCACCCTCTGGCGTCACCTGTCATTCCGCTGCCCACAACCCCCCTTCTCTTGGCCAGAGCTGGACTTTCTCCAGCACGAAAGCTTGATGCGCACAGGCCAGGGCGGGGGACGCCTTTGTTCCCATTCCCGGAGGCGGGCCCCCCGCGGAGCAAGGGCCACCGGGACCCCCGAGGGATTCCAGAGTCCCAGAGCTCAGCTCTAGGAGCTAGTCGTCTTCGCTGCTGATCTCCCTTGGGATTGCCCCAAATGATGGGTGAGGCCGCCACCCACAGACCAGAGCCCCCGGCACACCCCAGCCCCTCTGCCCTCGGCCGAGGGCCCCAACAACGCCTTTATTTATCTTAACTCAGGTCGACTGGGTTGCTGTCCTTCCTGCGGACTCAATCTCAGGGTCTGTTCTGCCTTTCACTTCGCGTGCACCTGAGACAGACCTTCCCTTCTGTCCTCATTCCCAGAAACACACCTCTCCGCTTCCTCTCCGAGGGGTTTTGCAGACTTGTGTGAAATCGGGAGCAAGGGCCTGGGTCGGGGGTGAGGACTGATATTCCTCTTGCTGGACGGAGGTCCAGGGTCCCTGGCACAGGGCCGGGGGCCGGGGGGCAGCAGGGAAATGGCAGCAACGTCCCTCCAGAAGGCCTGTGTGGCTTGGGTGCCGTTTGCATTTCCACCCTGCACTTAGGTGGTGCCTGCTGGGGCCGCAAGTGCGGAGCTGCCCAGGGGGACCGCGGGGCGGGGTGCCCTCCCCAGCACCACCTTCTTGTCAAACACCGCTGTGCTTTGCAGGCCGGCATGGGCACAGCAGCGGCCGGAATCAGAGAAGCCAGAGGGCGGTCCGCAGCCAGCCTTGCCCTCCGGGGAGCCCAGGGCAAGGGTGCACTGAAGGGGATCACCTGGGGGCCCGCAGTGGAGGGGGGGGG